ACCGACTGCTGTCGTGTTTATTGGAGCATAAATCACCGCTAATCATTGGCCAGTATTTCACGCGTTTTACGATTCAACGCACCTCGGCGATTTACGGAAAAAGTCGGAAGATACTTGGTGTGACGTCACACCCAGTACTCGTTCGAGAATCGCCATATTGGAAACATTGAAAAAAAAAATATCGTACAGTAATTTTTAGATTTATTCAGCGTAATTGGTTGGATTTAAGCAATGGGAGGCGCGAGATGTGTTGTTGGAGGATGCAGCAATAAGAGAAGTGAGCGGGTTAGCTTACATCAATTCCCTAAGGACACGAACATTCGACAACAGTGGGTAAGGGCAATCAAGTGTACAGGTACGAATGTCTCTAGAGCTGACTGGAATGGACCTAGTTCTTCAAAATCAGCACAAGCACAATTGGTATGCTCTGAACATTTTGAATTCACGTGCTTTACCCTCACCACTAGGATGCATTGGCAGCAGGGATTACCATACAAGGCTGCCCTTACTGACGAAGCGGTGCCTACCCTGTTCGGTCTACAGATACAGGAGTATAAGAAAAGGGTAGAGAATCCAAGTTCTAGAGGAGCCTTCAGAAAACGTGAATTGGAAAGAGTAAGTGTATTTCTATGCATATTTTTGAAAAATACATCTTAAAATAGATAAATTTTGTGGCTAATATATCGATATATACTGTACTGATACTGTATACAGGTCAAGCACGTCTCAACAAATGTTTGTTAAGAAAGAAAATAGTTGGATATTTTTTAAAACATCAAACTTCAAAGTAAATTTTATGTGCAGGTCTGCAAAATATCTAGAATTCTACAAAATTTTGGAAACAAAGTGATCCCTCGGAAGCATTAATCACAACAAAATAACATAAGAATTGCAGACTCGGTTTGATTGAGTCTGTACATGAGAGATAATGAATAAGTGCAACATCCCTCACGCCCCCTAGCACCGGCTTGAGCGGTACTCAATTCTCAACACTTTATAGTGTTGGCATCAATGATCCAGAAGGACCAGAAAATATAACAACACTGAAGTGAAGTACGGGGCAACTTTTTACGGCTGCCACACGGCACTTGACACCTGCCATAGTCATACATGGAACATTTGGGTGAAATTTGCACTGTAATTTGTAAAATGCTTAGGCTATCTCAAGGATATATCACCAGATTGATTTCAAGACAGCTTGGTGTGATCAACTTGGAACAACTTAGCCTGTATTCAGCTCATGTTACATTCATTTTGTAAATTACGCAAACAAAAGATGTTTCATCATAGATTTCTAGGTTATATCCGATAAATTTTTGTAGTTTTGCAATCGTTTTGGAGTTTGAAACTTTTTTGAAGCCAAGTTAAATTTTTAATATGCTATCTTCTTTATATCCATGCTTAACAAAAACTGGGGCGGTTTCATAGGAGACATCATTCCCTCTGTCAGTTTATTGCAAGAAGTTGCCCTAATTGAAGAATATTTGCGAATGCAATTTTTTTCTCTGAATATAAGGTACATACATTATGATCTCAAAACAACAAATAACTACACTACCAGTGTGACAAAAAGAAAAAAATATTTTCATAACTGTTTAACTTGTCCTGAATTGTAAGGTAATTGTGTCTTAAATTTTGCAGAGAAAAGGAGAAAAAGGTCTGCCGAAGAAAAGCTCCTATTGATGAAACGTTTTTGAAATCTGGAAAACCACCTGTAGAAGCAGATTTGACTTTATGTCTATAAAGAAGTACAGCTCTGGCATCATTTCCATGGGTGTACATTAGACATTAAATACGGGTTTATAATAGCTGAGGATAAAAAGTATCAAATTATTAATATTGGCTAACTCTAGAGGGAAGTATTGTATCAAAATCAACAAGTGCTTAATCATTATTTGATCACTTTAGTTTAACAATGTATCTATGATCAATATGTCCATCTAGTCTACACCATACTGATGTACTTCATGACATTATTATTGTAAATGCAGAAATAAGTTTAAGTGTGTCTCATTACTTAGATATTGTAACAAATTATGATAAACACAGAATTTAGTAATAATTGTTTGAGAAATATTGTCATATGTGTTCTAAGAATGCCGTGTCATATTCTCATGAGTTGTACAAAATATAATTTTAATTAGTAAATCAAGAGAAGAATAGAACATCAGGATTGTTTGTAAGTGGTTTGTTAAAATATAACTTTATAAGATGCAATACCTTTTAAAGATATCTTGGTAAAGAATGTTATATAATATGTTCTGACTTAATGTCCTCAACTGAAAAGAATGTTTTTATGGCCCCAAGATAATGGCAAGGGGCATATAATTGTTACCGTTGTCTGTCTGTCCCTGTGTGAACTATTTTTAGAAAATCTTGTCAGGCCCATAACTCTGTCATGCATCAAGGGAATTTTAAACGTTTTGTCACAAATGTTGAACATGATAGGACGATATGTGTCAAGCGCATGACGTAGACCCCTAGATTCAAGGTCACAAAGGTCAAAAGTCAGCAGTTAGAAAATCTTGTCCAGTCCATAACTGTCTTACATCAAGGGATTTGGATGATGTGTCATGTGCATGACCTAGACACTTAGCCAACTACAGACATTTGAAATCTAAGTGTTATATTGACCTTTCAAGATAACACTAAGAGGTCAAATGTCAGCAATTTTTTAATCTTGTTTGGCCCATTTACGTCTGCGAAGGAAAACTGTGAATTTGGGCACCAACATGGTTTACCAGGATGAGATGGTGTGTCATGCACAAGATCAAGAGTCTTAGGTCAAGGTCATGTTTAGAGGTCAAAGGTCAGCAATTTGATAATTTGTGCTCTGTCACTTTGAAATTAAGGATTTTTTAATATTTAAGATATGTTTTATCAAACAACCATCTGTACTCTTACTTGAAAAGGTCATTTGTGGCACAACAATTCTGTCATGTCAGATGTTTCGATGTTCTAACATATATAGGAAGGGCATCTGTGTCTCAGACACATTTCTAGGGTTTGCTTGTTTCTTACATGATACTTAAATAAAAAGTAAGAAAAGCAATATTATTTTTTCCAAAAAATTGATAAGTAGACAAATAATCTTTGTTTGATTGTTTTTGTATGTATGTGAGTCTTTTCTCAACTAGTCATACTGCTGTGCCAAACATGATGTACATGTGTATATGTTTTTGGCAAAAAACAGTCATGATGTATATGTTTTCGGCAAAAGGAATCTTGCTGATTTTGCAATTTACTGTGATGAAATTTTATATTTAGATTGAATAATAATTTTGCCATTGTCATTTGTTGTTGGTTAATAAAACAAGTGTAATAAAAAGTACCTTATGCTATGTTAAAAAGAAACGATCATGTATTTGATTTAAGCTAGCCTTTTCAATGAAAAAGAAGAGCTTTCCTGCTATCCCTTTTATATGCAATTGAGTCACATCTTAGAAAAAGTTTTTTTGTGACAAAGTATTAAAACTATGGTTTTGAAACTTGCCATACTTGTTGACCATCATATTGTCCATCTATTGTCCTTTTTTATCAGAAAATGTACTTAATGTCTTTAAACTTTGAATGATTGTTTAAATCATTACCCAATCTGTTGACAAGAGAAGGTGACCCCATTAGGAATTTAAAGATATACTATGCTCAAATTTGATATCAGAAAATATTGATAATTACTACATAGTCTCTTTGTAAAAATGAAATAAACATGTTTTGACTTTACATAAAGTTTATATGTCATGTTTAAAACTCTACAAACTATAGGTCGTCACAATATGAATATATAGTGTCGTTAAAAAAACTGGCAGTTTTTTTAAGAAAAGACTAATTTTACTTGTCCTATAATAGACCATGTGACTTCCAATGCATAGTTGTTTTCATTTTTTATTCAAATTAGACATACTCAGTAAGAATTTCATAGGTTTAAATAAATTTCTTTGATCAAAATATTTTACTCAAAGATGAGCATAGTATATCTTTAAGTTTTCATAGACCTTTGTTAGGTTTTTGGTCTCTGCCAAAGTTTTGTTTATAGGCGAGCAATAAAAACTTAAGCATTCAGTCCTGTTGACTGCTCCTTTTTTAAGTTACATACCATTATTTGGATTTTGTAGTTACCTTTAGAGTATATAATCAGATTTTGGCCATGTAACAGTTTTGTTAAAACTTAAACATCTGATCTGTAAGACTCATTTATGTTTACTAAGCATTTATTTCAACTAAAACAAGGAAAAACATAAATATTAGGCCTATTGTATAATTTTTTTTAATTTTTGCATTAAAAATAACTTATTTAGAAGTAAATTAATAGTATTTCAAATTCTACTAAAACATTATCACCTCCTTTTTTAATACTTTATGGGGATCTAAATCTTTGTACATGCAATGTCTACATAGGCCTTTTTGTTTAATTTTATATACAAAAAGTATATATTGTCAAAGCATGATTGCATAACATATTAGAATGACTTGTATTTAAATAAAGCTTGAATTGTATAACCATTGTCTTCTTGTTGCTTTGTCCTGCTCTCCAATTTACAATGTATTGTTGTGCATGCTATTATAGCAAGTGACATCCTTCGAAAGGGATTTAACTTGGAAAGTATCATCTCCATTTTATCTAGCTTGTGATAAATAAAGAACTTAAGGAGTAATGGGCAACCTATGTACATGATGTACCAATGTAGCTGAAATGAAGCTAGCTGCCAAGCAAAGCCATGTAACCTTGCAAACGGAAACTTTGAATTTGTGCCATAAGCTGCTTATACTGATGAACATAATTAAGTAGAGGAAATATTAGATTCAGTTCGTCAACCAATAAATTTAATTCCCGTTAATTTTATGAATCTCTGCCAAAAAGGAAAAAATAACTGTAGATCTACAACAATGAATGGAGAATGTTGAATTTGACATTGAAGCTGAAATATTGATATATATATACTCCTTATCTCTAGTATATAATTCCTTTACATAGCTGTTATAAATGAGCCGGGTCATGACAAAACCAACATAATGCGTTTGCGACACGCATGGATCCAGACCAGCCTGCGAATCCGCTTACAAACCGTATAACAAGTAGAGAAATGGATAGCGAACAGCATGGATCCTGATCAGAATGCGCAGGTTGGTCTTGATCCATGCTGGTCGCAAACACATTATGTTGGTTTTGTCGTGCCACGGCTCAAATGTCCCTTGCATGATTTTTTCCTAACTGATTTTTTGCTATCACTGCTATGAAATGGGTTCATTGTGTAACAGTAGCTTAGTGTTTGACATGGCCACCTGCTTTTGTATATGTTTTGAATAATTTTTCATAATTAATTATTCCTAGACATTTTAAGTGTGTAAGCTTATACATCTGCTGCAAATATTATTGTTTGAGTAAAAAAAAAACTTCCAAAATTCTTGAGTGGAAGATCTATGTTCTTTAACTGCATTAAAAATGAATAGTGCATGCACAAAATCATTGCTAAATAGACAAGAGTGTACTTAAAATTGTACTAAGCAGAACAATATTATGTTTCAGAACATTTAGTAATGTTAACATACAATATTCATGAGTGTTAAATAACAGCGGCAGGCTGAAGCCTATAATACTTGGGGTCTTTCATCAAAACCAAATTCAAATACTTCCATTACTAAACACAAAATGAGGGTACAGATTTAGCTAGTGTATGTGGAAACAAATGTTCACTTTTCTTGATATTTACCGTAAGTGCTTCTTTCACTTGTCCAGTGGAGGGCTGAAGTAGTGCTGGCCCAGTGACTGGTAGGGGTTGCTCAGCATTTCCAGTTGGTGTGACTTCATATTCTCCAATAATCTAAAAAAAAATGAACAAAAGGTCTAGATGCATTTCTTTAGCAGATTTTGCATAATTTTCTATGATGAAACATCTTTTGTTTGCGTAATTTACAAAATGAATGTAACATGAGCTGAATACAGGCTAAGTTGTTCCAAGTTGATCACACCAAGCTGTCTTGAAATCAATCTGGTGATATATCCTTGAGATAGCCTAAGCATTTTACAAATTACAGTGCAAATTTCACCCAAATGTTCCATGTATGACTATGGCAGGTGTCAAGTGCCGTGTGGCAGCCGTAAAAAGTTGCCCCGTACTTCACTTCAGTGTTGTTATATTTTCTGGTCCTTCTGGATCATTGATGCCAACACTATAAAGTGTTGAGAATTGAGTACCGCTCAAGCCGGTGCTAGGGGGCGTGAGGGATGTTGCACTTATTCATTATCTCTCATGTACAGACTCAATCAAACCGAGTCTGCAATTCTTATGTTTTTTTGTTGTGATTAATGCTTCCGAGGGATCACTTTGTTTCCAAAATTTTGTAGAATTCTAGATATTTTGCAGACGCTGCACATAAAATTTACTTTGAAGTTTGATGTTTTAAAAAATATCCAACTATTTTCTTTCTTAACAAACATTTGTTGAGACGTGCTTGACCTGTATACAGTATCAGTACAGTATATATCGATATATTAGCCACAAAATTTATCTATTTTAAGATGTATTTTTCAAAAATATGCATAGAAATACACTTACTCTTTCCAATTCACGTTTTCTGAAGGCTCCTCTAGAACTTGGATTCTCTACCCTTTTCTTATACTCCTGTATCTGTAGACCGAACAGGGTAGGCACCGCTTCGTCAGTAAGGGCAGCCTTGTATGGTAATCCCTGCTGCCAATGCATCCTAGTGGTGAGGGTAAAGCACGTGAATTCAAAATGTTCAGAGCATACCAATTGTGCTTGTGCTGATTTTGAAGAACTAGGTCCATTCCAGTCAGCTCTAGAGACATTCGTTCCTGTACACTTGATAGCCCTCACCCACTGTTGTCGAATGTTCGTGTCCTTAGGGAATTGATGTAAACTAACCCGCTCACTTCTCTTATTGCTGCATCCTCCAACTACACATCTCGCGCCTCCCATTGCTTAAATCCAACCAATTACGCTGAATAAATCTAAAAATTACTGTACGATATTTTTTTTTCAATGTTTCCAATATGGCGATTCTCGAACGAGTACTGGGTGTGACGTCACACCAAGTATCTTCCGACTTTTTCCGTAAATCGCCGAGGTGCGTTGAATCGTAAAACGCGTGAAATACTGGCCAATGATTAGCGGTGATTTATGCTCCAATAAACACGACAGCAGTCGGTAATTTCCGCTGAAAAAGGTTTAGTGGCTTTTTCTTACGAATATAAATGGAAATATCGCTGTGGTAAATTACCATTCAATGGGACCTTTAACAATAGATAGAACTCTAGAAAACATATTTGGACACTTTTTCATTTTTAACCAGTTATAGACTATGCACTTATTAAACTATATATAACTTATTGTTTATGGTAACAGTCATACACTATTCATTACATTATGTATATATATTGAAACCCTGGTTTACCTACTTCAATGACATATAGCCTATTCCTAAAGGTACTGGACTAGTATAATGTTAGCCAGTGACAGGTTCCAATCATTCATTAAGTGTTAAGTATTTTTATTTACAAGATCCATGTATAAGTAATAAATATATAAGATCTAAGAATTCCTAAACAACATCAATAAAATTAATTCAAAATTGAAGTAGAGGTAAATTAAAAATCACTTTTGATTGTTCATAAATTAATTAATTATGGTAAATTCAAGATGACATTTTTTTATAATTATTTTTTCATTTAGTTTCTCCTCTGTTTAGTAAATTTACTGCTGGGAACCAAGTCAATTTTGCATTTGAGTGTTGTGACTAGTGAGAATTAAAGTTAAAACATGTTGAATGTTTAAAATATAGGATGTCAGCCATACAGTCACAAGAAAGCAAAATGATTTTGTTTTCATTTATGTGTTTTTCATATATTTTGTTTGTTTGTTTTGTTGTTGTTTTGTTTTTAGCTCACCTGTCACAAAGTGACAGGGTGAGCTTTTGTGATCGCTTTTCGTCCGGCGTCCGTCCGTCCGCCGTCCGTCAGTCGTCCGTCCGTCCGTAAACTTTTGCTTTAAATGACATCTCCTCATAAACCACTGAGCCAATTTCATCCAAACTTCAGAGGAATGTTCCTTTGGTGGTCACCTTTAAAAATTGTTCAAAGAATTTAATTCCATGCAGAACTCTGGTTGCCATGGCAACCAAAAGAAAAAACTTTAAATATCTTCTTTTAAAAAACCATAAGAGCTAGAGCTTAGATATTTGGCATGAAACATCTTCTAGTGAGTGTCTACCAAGTTTGTTCAAATAAAAGCCCTGGGGTCAAAATTGGCCCCGCCCCTGGGGGTCATTGATTTTCCCTATATACATATAGTAAAAACTAAAAAAATCTTCTTTTAAAGAACTCTAAGAGCTAGAGCTTAGATATTTGGCATGAAACATCTTCTAGTGAATGTCTACCAAGTTTGTTCAAATAAAAGCCCTGGGGTCAAAATTGGCCCCGACCCAGGGGGTCATTGATTTTCCCTATATGCATATAGTAAAAACTTAAAAAATCTTCTTTTAAAGAACCCAAAGAGCTAGAGCTAAGATATTTAGCATGAAACATGTTCTAATGGGTGTCTACAAAGTTTGTTCAAATAAAAGCCTTAGGGTCAAAATTGGCCCCGCCCCAGGGGGTCATTGATTTTCCTTTTCCTTATATGTGTATAGCAAAAACTTAAAAAATCTTCTTTGAAAAAACCCAAACCCAAATAGCTTGAGTTTAGATATTAAGCATGAAACATCTTCTAGTGAGTGTCTACAAATTTTGTTCAAATAAAAGCCCTAGGGTCAAAATTGGTCCCGCCCGGGGGTCATTCATTTTCCTTATATGTGTATGGCAAAAACTTAAAAATCTTCTTTGAAAAAACCCAAATAGCTAGAGTTTAGATATTAAGCATGAAACATCTTCTAATAAGTGTCTACAAATTTTGTTAAATTAAAAGCCCTGGGGTTAAAACTGGCCCCGCCCCAGAGGTGTCATTGTTTTTAACTATATGTGTATAGTAAAAACTTAAAAAATCTTCTTTTAAAAAACCCAATGAGCAAGAGGTTAGATTGTTAAGCAGGAAACATCTTTTTGTGGGTGTCTACCACGTTTGTTCAAATAAAAGCCCTTGGGTTAAAATTGGCCCTGCAAAAGGGGGGTGGGGGTGGGGGTCATTGTTTTTCATTATATGTGTGTAGTAAAAACTTAACATCATGAAAAATCTTCTAATGGGTGTCTTCCAAGTATGTTCAAATAAAAGCCCTGGGGTTTAAACTGGCCCCCCTCTGGGGGCCTATATACAGGTGAGCGACTTCAGGGCCATCATGGCCCTCTTGTTTATTTTTATTTATTTATTTTATTTTTTTATTTATTTTTTTATTGGGGGGGGGGGGGGTTAATTAGCAATAAGTAGACTTTTATTTTATTATTTATTTTGCTATAATATGGTAAACTTTCAGCATTTTAAAAGCTCTTCTATCATGAAACATAGCTTTGGCAAATGCAACAAGATTTTCCCAAGTGACTGATATGGTATTTAGTAACTGAAACAGAAGTTTCATATACTATATAGTGAAACTACAGAGAGTAGTTTGGGGCAAAATCATTCAAAAATTGCATCTGCTGTTACACAAAATATTTTGGGTTCGAACGTTTTAGGTACGAATCTGATAGAAAATATATGCGTCAATACTTCTGCATTGAGTGGTTTTTGTATGAAATTAGTTACATTCTAACCATTTTCTGTCCCAGTTGACGGATGATTTTGATTTATAACATTATATCAGCGAATATTTCCTCATTTGCAGTACATTTTAATTTGTAAACAAAGCCCATAGCAACCATGCAAGTTATTCGTACCTAAACACCAGTCCGAGGTCTTAAACAAGTTAATCCTACGTAAAAGTTATATTTTGTACATTTGTTTAATGATGATATGTAATTAGTGTGGTGACAACATCTTCATTTAAATTTGAACCGAGTTTAACTCTACTATCAACATTTTCGATTGTAATAAAAATAGAAGCGTAAACCATGTGTCAATTTTGACATATTCCGCGAAATAACATAACCGGATATAGAATTTATTGCATGTCGGGACTAGTATTGGTTAGTTTAACCAGCGGTTAATTTTAACCATTTTGGTTAGTTAACCTTTTGGTTATCTCGGTTTATACAAGTGACTAACCAAATTGGTTAGTTAACCAAAGTTGGTTAAATTTAACCCACGGTTAGCGTTTAACCCAGGGTTAATTTAACCAACGTTTATACAATTGGGTGCTGGTGGAATCACGTCAACCCTATCAATGTATTGCATTTTCGTCTGTGTGTATGCATAAAAGACTGACAATTTGAAAACGGCGCAAGAAATAAAAACATGTCTTTTTATTGATTTTGTTTCTAAGATTTGGAAGCATTGGGTTATAGAAAGAACTTGGCTTAGTTGTATATGCATTTAATTTTCTAGTCCGTTAATCGCATATATATTTGAAAGCGAAGGTAAGAGTATGTTAAAAAAACAAATAACACATACATGCCGTTTGAATGGTATCCACATGAATCATTTCCTAATCCAGGTAGAAGATCATTTGGATAGTTATCCGGTACCACACCGATAGCTAGAATGAAATTCTTCTATTGTAAAAATCAACGAAGAGTCATCCCATATTATAAGTATTATACTTTCAATTAGAACAAAATAAATAAATAAATAAATAAATAAATAAATAAATAAAACAAGTAAATAAATAAATAGATTAATTAATCAATTGATTGAAAGTATTTAACTTTGAATTAGAACAAAATAAATAAATAAATAAATAAAATGAAAAATAAAGAGACAATAAATAAGTAAATAAAATATTTAATTAATTAATAAATAATTAATAAAAAAATTAATTAAATAATTACTATGTTATTTATAATTTCATAGATTTATAAATAATAAATAAAAAATAAATAACCTTTAATGGTTTTCGTTTACTGTAAGACAAAATTATTTAATGTAATTAATGACTGTTTGAATATGTAATAAAAAGAGTCACGGTGTTCCTTGTAAACAAATCATATTGATACTTTGATAATCAGAATAAAATATTTATAAAAAATAAAACAAACTTGTATTCCTCACAATTTGCTTGGTAAGTATTTATGGCAGATTATCAATTAATTTCAGAAAGTATTTACAGACGAAAATGAATATTTAACTTAAAACTCCTTCATATAATTACTATTATCGTAACATATTTTAAAATAACATTCAATTTTGTTTGGTTAATGACGATAAGGTATCATCGGATTTTATCATAAACATGATATGCTCAAAAGACTATCTGAAGAGAATAAGAATTTTGACGACTCTTCTTTAATTCCTTAAGCAGTATTATGGTACACAAACTAATTATGGCTAAACACTTGACTCAAGTTACATTTGATCGAATGTTATATTATGTTAACTGTTACCTATACCTCCGCCTCTACCAATGCTCATAACCTTGACTTCAAAACTGTCCCACGAATTTAATAAATATTTGTCAATAAATAAACCAAGGTCGCCTTTTGCTTTTTCAGCATAACTGAAAAAGAATGCAAATCCATCGTATTGATCAAAACAGGTAAAAATGTCCTACAATTATAACATAGTCTTTAACCTATTAAATATTTTCAATATATTTTGAAATAATTGCATATTAATTACAAAGTTTAAGTTAGTGTAAAAATTTAGTTGTTTTATGTCACCTGATTATGTCTCCGTCAATGATTAGGTTTTTGCAAACAAGTTGTCTGTCCAGCAACAGCTGAAAACAAAATATAACGCGAAATAAGTAATGATTAATTGTATAAATTAAAATATAAACACACTTAACATATACAATATATTTTGATACCGTGATGATTAGATAAGTCGTTTAAAAAATACAAATAAAAGCTACAACACACTCAAATAATATAAGATACTTACTTGATTTGTTTGTGAACATTTAGCCTTTGCCACCGGTGTTGCTCTGTTTGCTTTTACTGTTTCTTTTCTAAGTGCTGATTTATGAAAAAGGAAGAGAAACAAATTAAATACCATAGCTTACAAAGTAATTATAAAAATGCATATTAACACTCGAAATAAGACTACTGTATAGAATTGAAAGAAAAGCCGTTATATTAACCAAGAATGTATAAAACAAATGTAACTTCTGAGAACATGTTTTATATTAGGCTTTAATTGATATGACACACATTATAAGTAAAAAAAATTCATCCTGTTTAAACATGTATCATCAAAAATTACTATGAAAGTAAGAAACTTACCGGCACCAGATTCATTTGGCTTATGCAAAGCTCCTAGTTGTTTACAAGTTTTCATCAATTGTTCGAGATTACAGTCACGCGTGAAGTCGTATTTTTCGATCGTATTGTTCGCTTTGATTCTTTCTAGCTGGTCTCGGACGAGATGAAGATTTTGTTTGTATGACAAGGAACTGATGAACAATTTGTAAGGCTGATCAGCTTCTGATTGTAATGTGTCTCTCATACCATTTGTTTCATCAACTAGGCTTTTATTTTCTTTTTCAAGGTTTTCGATCTTTGTCATGTCTGCTGTCATGATATCATCTCCATATTTAAGCATGTCATCAGCGAGTTCTGTGATATGTGAAACCATTTCATCCCTAAACAATTTCACTTCAAGAGCAAACTTTTTGTTGACATCTTTTACATGGTCCTTGTTACGCCTGATGCTTCCTAACAGAGATTTTGCTTCATTTTCATATGAATCTATATCCTTTTTCAACATTTTGAGCTGTTTACCGTCTTTATATCCGTCGATGTGTTCAGGTATATACTCTACTTTACAGGTTTTATGCGAAATTATCATACAATCTCCGCAACCAACTTGGCCATGTTCGGGGCAGAAAAATTTAATAGGCTCGTTTAGATGTTTAGTACAATCATCAAACGTTGGTGTTTCACCTTTATTAGATGCTGCCGCAACAGATGCAGCAAGTCTATGCTCCCGAAAAAGCTTCCATTGTTTATGAGTATCAAAACATCTTTGACACATTTCTTCTTCACATTGTGAACAAAAACCATCCGAGTATTTTGATGCCTTACGTTGCTCACAAGGTTTACAATATTTACGAAGTTTCTTTCCCGAAACCTCCATATTTCAACACTCGACTTATCTGAAAAATAAACAGTAGTAACAAATCCATATAAAAGCTAGAAACATGTTTTTTACATTTTGTAGTTTATAAACAAAAGTAGCATGATAGTCTTTGACTGCTTGCTCATCTGATCTTCCTTGCTAGGAAAATGGCTTGTTATTTGTCCAATGCAGTAAAAAGTCACTATTTTATTATTAGATAAGGTCATTCTGAAGTAGCGCTTTGTTCTATTAACATCTAGTAGAATTTCCTTTGACAATAGGTTGGCTTTACAGAATGCGAAATTTATTTTATTATCTGAGTCTGTATAATTTGGTTTGTTTGTAAAAAAAAACAATTGTTCACAATGTGTATTATAATAACAATCTTCAAATACTAATATAAACAAATATTTTGACATCTTATCGAACGAGACCAGGAACTCATTCTGAAGGAATTTATTATTAATCATAAGATTATCATTGGTCAGGTTTCTGTATTAAATGTTGTACGTATTATCTATCAAAAACATTTTTTCTTCACAGCATAAATGTGCAGAAAACAATATTAAACGACTTTGCAATCCTACCTTATACAGTATTCTAACAGTTACAACACATTGTTAAATCAAGTGTCAGAACTAAGAGCATTCAAGCTAAAACAGAGCGAACTTGAAGTTTTTTATAGAAACGGACTGAATTATCAGTGGTTTTAAAAGAGGAGTAAAAAATATTAAAACAAATAATCAGGCGAGCGTTTCACTAATATTTCGTGAGTTTTTCGTATTTTTTACGTAAATTTGGACATACGCGAAACGTAAATTTGCGTTCGTTGCATTTCACTAAAGAGAACGTGCAATTTACCCCAGTAATAAGTGAGCGCAACCTAACGTTTAAACTTACGCAACTGCGTAGCTAAAAACGTTTAGTGAAACACAAATAAATAAGTTCTTGCGATTTAACTAGAGATATAACGTAAGTACGTTAAAGAAAAGCACCACTAGAATGTAATGTGTGTTCCTTATTTCAGGGCCATGCCACCATTAGCATTATTGACATAAAACAAAAACTCATGTTTTTTTTTTAAAAAGTCTTAATACTTGAGTGGTATTCATTTCTGAGTTGTCATAAAAAGGGTTTCCACTGAGTTTATTAATGAGAGATATACACATAAAATAGACGATCTGAAGAGATGTGTACTTAAGTTATTCTGTTTGAAATGTTTACTTTATTACAATTGAGTTGTCATTCGTTGGGTAGACGTGAACGGTAAGTGACACACTTTTCAATTTTACAACCAACATTATTGTCATCCCGTCCATTTCCTACCCCTTTCCTTTTTGTCCTTTTGACTGAATGTGTGCATTTTTTACTTCAATGTTTATTACTCTGTTTATCTTATTATAAACATTAATACAAAATTAATCAAAAACTTGTTTCCATGAACTTTAGATGCTATGTAGATTTTAAACATTTAGGTAAAGTTTATAAATGATGTGATACCATGTTTAAACAGACTTTCCTGACAATAAATAAGTTTAAATTAGTTTTATTCATATACCATGAGGGGCTTAACTTATCACTATTATTATGATCTTATAATACACATAATTGTATCAGTGACGCCTGGAATATTATTGACACATACGTATCAACCAATGGAATATATACTTAAATACTAAATATATACTAAAACTACAAAAAACTATTCAAAGCAATCAGCCAGGGTATATAGGTCGCTATGATCAATGTCTGTAGAGAAATATCAAATATCGTTGTATAATAATATTAATCGTTAAAACGTGATTCCAATCTCAAATAAATGAGCACAGAACCATAATCGTATGATCAGTTATATTTACTATTGTATTTAGAAATCTGATATATTTTCAATTTAAATATTACTTTACCTATCCTGCCGCAAAATCAGTAAACCGTTTCTTATTGAATCTTTCATTATTTGAAGAAACCCCAATATATTTCTATGCAAAATGACTTACGGAATTTCTTTAATAAGAAAGTCATTTTGCAGTTATCATTTTTTTTTATTGTAAGTACATAATGTAATGATTTTTTAACATTGAAAATATTTTTCTGATAATGAATGAATAAGTGTTAATT